CGGCCGCGCGCGCGCCCGGCCGCGCCCGCGGGCGGGCGGGCGCGAGGGGGTTTCAGTAGTCCTAAATTAAAGAGAGGGAGGGAGGGAAGGAGGGAGGGAGAGAGAGAGGGAGAGGGAGTGGGAGTGGGAATGGGAGTGTGTAAGGGTGGGGGAGAGAGGTGAGCTGATGCCAGGACACCACACCTCTAAGTTGCTATGGCGTAATATAAGTAGACCCTGTAAGCCCTTCATTTCTGTGGAATGGTTCTTCAAGACACTGTCTAAATGCTATAAAAAATGGGAACGTTCAGTCAGATTTTAAAAGCCCATGTTAATTGTCTCTTTTACAAAAGGCTTTTGGATGCCTGTTACCTGCAGGCAGACTGACTGCTAGAAACTGGATGGTTAACTGCTGCTTCTCACGTTCCTAATCCAAGAGTGATTTGGTCAGTAAATACTGAAAATCTGTTTGCTAGATGGTCTTTTCAGAAAGGACCAGAGAACTTCAGTCTTAGGCAAAACTTAACATATTAGTTTAATGTGTAGACAAATCCATGGAAAATTCATCTGTGAATTGTCAGATTAGTTATCCAAGAAAGTTTTCTGTTTCAGAGATTCTATGTCCTTTTTTTATTCCAGTAATAAAAGAGCCAGTATGTCAAAACTTGGACATAAATGTATAAATATATAACCTATGGGCATATTAGCTATCGTTCCCTCTAGCCCTTTGAATTATGTATTAGTATATTTTTGGGCACAGTAACAAAGTCTAGCTAATGTTAGCTTCAGCGGCACTGCATTTAGTAGTGCGTATAACAGGAAATTGAGAAGTATAGGTCAGTGTTTAGTTTGTTCCATAATTGACTTAGTTGCCAAAGACCCAGCTTCCTTTCAGCATACCTTCCACCTTTTTCAGTGACTCACAGGCACAGCACCTGGCTTGACTTCAGAAGCTGTGTGTTTGTGCTGGTCCTTCTTGGTCATGTTTGTTGTAAGTACCACATCTGCAGTGTCTGCTGCCCCACTGACCTTGTGACCATTTCTTTGTTCTCTCTCCAAACAGAGAAGAACACGGTTTCTTACTGTCATAAAGAATAGTCATTAGGCTGCTCTTTTCTTTTTGAACAAATCCACTTGTGTTCAGAAGTTCTGTGTCATGTGAGAGTTAGCAGCACCCTGAAGAACGAGGAAGGTTGATGTAACTGAGCCTGAACACAGGGCACATGGTGTTTTGGGCCAAAGGCTTGACTTTCTTCTGTTCTGGTTGTTAGAACTATGCATTGCATTTTTGGATGACCAGTTTTTCCCCTATGAGGTAAATGTACCTGTGAAGAACTAGCTGTAGCTGTTCACTGACTATTCTCCACAGTGTAACATTGAGTAGTTGTTACTGTTGTTCCGAGAACTACACTTTGAAAGTTGGGTCCTGGAATTTGTGAAAAAAGCCAAGCAAGGTGTCTTTCTGCGGTTGCCATTGAATGCCATGCCAAGTTCTATCCAGAGCACACAGAGATAGAAGCATTGTGTGTGGCATTGTCCCTGGATTGGAGTCGCTGTTCATCAAGGACTTTGTGGTTGATGTGGCGTTTCTCCATACTTGCTGTTTTAGGTTGGTTTGTTTATAGTGATTGGAGAGAAACATCCTGGCACTCGGGTGCACTTCAGTGGTAGAGTTTCTGAGTAACATCTGTTGACCTACTATGCAACTTTACTCTGTGCATGCCTGTGTTTTGCCGGGTGGAGCCCAGTGTCATACCTGTGTTAGGTACAGACTCTACCATTGACCTGCACCCTAGCCCAGGCCTGCTTTTTGTTAAATTTTTTGGTTGTGACACCATCTTACTGCTTAGGGGCACACATTTATAACCTAGTCACCAGTCAGCAGCAGTACCCAGGGCATAGGAAGGGTGTTAGTGCTGTATCACCGCTTCATCTCATAGAAAATGGTTAGAATTGCCTGTTGATGAGGACCTTAAACCTACATCTGCCTTGGAATTATCTCTTCACAAAAAGCTTTCCAGGAATTTCCTGTATAAATTAGAATGTCTTGATTTCATTCCCTCTCCTTACAGCACCAGGACATTCTTAAGCAGTACTGTATCCACACCCCTGTTTGTACTGATCTCAAAGGGTGGGCTTCAGCTGGGATGGGAAGTTACCTAGGAATGGAGTGAGTCCTTGTAGTGCTCAGAGTGGACAAGCTCAAGCCTCCGTGTGTGTGCTTTGTATTTTCTGAATCCTTACTGTAGGTGCTCTGCCTCTTTTTATTTATTAAGGAAATATGATGTATTGCTCCATTCTTTTTACTGGTTGGTTTTGTTTTTTTCTTTTTAGGTAGTATTGAGTATTAAGTATTGAACCTAGCTAGGTCTTGACACATGCCAGCAAGTGCTTCAGCTGTATCTCCAGGTTTATGGCAATAATTTTGTTAGCAATAGTTTGCTAGCAGTGGTTAAAACAAACAAATGAGAAACCCAAAATAAATACTTATTTCTTAATCTCTGTGGAAATGTTTCCTCCAGATTGGTGTGTGAGTCTTAGAAAGCCATGATAGTGAGAAAAATGGCCTGCCCCTAGCACAGTGCCGTAGGAGAAGAGAGCTGGTGAGGCCTGTGCAGGTGGGGGAGTGGTACAGATGGAGCAGGGGTGTGCAGGTGGGGTAGTGCTGCTTCTTCCTCCTAGATGAGGTTCCCCAAGCGTGGACTCAAGTCTTTTTGTTCTATAACCAACAGGAGGACTCACAAACGGCAGTGGAAGATACATCTCTGCTGCTCCCGGTGCCGAAGCCAAGTACCGCAGTGCAAGCAGTGCCTCCAGCCTTTTCAGCCCCAGCAGCACCCTGTTTTCTTCCTCTCGTTTGAGATATGGAATGTCTGATGTTATGCCCTCTGGCAGGAGCAGACTTCTGGAAGATTTTCGAAACAACCGGTACCCTAATTTACAACTGCGGGAGATTGCTGGGCATATCATGGAATTTTCTCAAGACCAGCATGGTTCTAGGTAAGGACCTGACTTTGGCCCCCAGCATAACTGAAATCCATGCCTCAGATAGGTATAAACCCCACCACAGAGACATACCTGCCCTTTTGTGATTCACAGTATGCCTCTGCTGTGCCTCTCAGTGTTTCTTTCAGAGGGATTTGGGCATGGGGATCATTAGATGGCCACATGTTTAAGATGGCTCTTAGTGGTCTGGACCATGGTCTTCATGAGTAACTTTTTTATCTTTATGAGCAAGTACTCTGTGTTTCTACTCCACAAGAATCTCTTAAAATGCTGTTGTTTGCTACTGGCTGTGGTTACACATGACCTTTAATTCCAGTACCCAGGAGATAGAGGGACTGCTGTAAGTTCAGACTTGTTGTACACAGTTATATCCATCTCTGTACATGAAGAAGTCGTCTTCCCAGGAAGCCCTGTGCATAGCTGAGCATTAGAAGGCCTCTAATGGAGGAGACAGTGTCATATGGCAGCGTAGACCCCCAGGTCCCAGGAGCTCTCATCCCTGTTGTTCCTGGTGCTGCCCAGAGGGGTGCGCTGGGCCTAGAGACCCAGTGAGGTGACACAAGGTCACTCATCCTCTGTCTCGTCTCTGTTGTGGGTTTCCTAGTGTACAAGGAAACTCCTAATGGGCTCCCTGCTCTTGGTGCTTGTGCTAGCTGCCTTCCCTGAGGAGTGGAAGCCAGGTGCAGAGACAGCAAGGATTTTCCTGAAGGAGTCAAGCAGGAAGAACTATTTCAGAAGCTGATGAATGACTCTCTTTATGGGTATGGGTTATAGAATTGGGGTAAGGGCCATAAGTTTCTGATGAGGGATAGCCATCTCAGCACTTGAGGAAGCAGAGGCAGGATGATCTTTATGTTCGAGGCCAGCCTGGTCTACATAGTGAGACCCTAAAAACACAAGCAAAATAAAACAAAACCCAATGCATTTATTAGGCTTATGGGCCGAATGTTGCAGGACTTATCTATCAAGCGATGCCCTCGCATCTTTGCAAGTCTTCTCTGTGTGTGGTTTCATTGCCCCTTCACTCTCTTCTTCAGATTCATTCAGCTGAAACTAGAGCGTGCCACAGCAGCTGAACGCCAGCTTGTCTTCAATGAAATCCTCCAGGCTGCGTACCAACTTATGGTGGATGTGTTTGGAAATTACGTCATTCAGAAGTTCTTTGAAGTATGTCTTTGTTTTTGGGTTGGTTTTTTTTTTTTCTACACTTTGACTTGGAGAATCTTCAGAGCATTTGATTTTTCTTGGCTTTTTGAAGCACAACAGCTCATTTCAGCCTTTAAAATGAAGTGCTAGGATCTCTCAAAAAGAAGTGTTCAGTATTTCTCCAGTTCCTTACTGGCCACCATTGTGCTCCTCCATGTGTTAGATGCTCTGGGAGTATGTGATAATTGCCTCTACTAGAGACCCAGCACAGAATATAGACCAGACTGGGCTTGAACTCACAGAGATCCACCTGCCTCTGCCTCTGTCTTCCAAGTGCTGAGATTAAAGGCATGCACTACCTTACCTGGGGTATTAAAAGAGTTTGTTTTTTAAAAAAATAATGTTGCTATATGGGGATGGGGGGGTTGCCTGAGAAGGCCTGAGACATAAGAGCCCTTGAAGCTGGAACCAAGTTGTTGTGAGCTACATGATGGGGACTGGGAATCAAACTCGGGTCCTTTGGAAGAGTGACGCTGCAGCCTTTGCCTCAGTGGTCCAGATGGTCACATGGGTAGTTTAGCAGTGTTACAGCAATATAGTGTGAAAATGAGAAACAATGAAAGATGCCTAAGGAGTTGACTCTACCCCAGATTCAGCTTTTCCGCTGTGGCCTGAGACTATGTGTAGGGATGGCCTTTGACCTTCTCACCTTTTTTTTAACCCATTAACTTGATTGAGTGCTTGAGATGAATATTGTGATGAATATTGTCTGCTCCCTCTAATAAGCTTAAATTTCAAAGACTTAGGGTTTATTTTAAATTAACATTTATAAGAATGTTATTGGCACTGCTTATTGTCAGCAGCTTCAAGCTGTTGGAAGACACAGGAACACTGAGAAAAGGATCTGGTCTGGGAACCGTTGCTGGAACTCTGAGCTTATCTACTAACGTCTGCAAATCTCTCACGGCCTCTCAGTTGTATGAAGATTTAAGAGGAGTTTTCTCAGACTTTACCTGTCCACTTCCTCATAGACACTCAGTTGTTCAGTCCTCACCTGTACTAAGAAACTGATTCTCTCTTCGCTGTCATTATGTCATTGAGTTAGGGTGCTGTGCTGCTGGTGTGCATGTAGTCCTGTGATTTAGAGGAAGCCAGAGAACGTCCCTAGACCCATGGGTGGAATAAAGGTTTGGACAATCCCATGATGATTGTATTCAAATGACTACAAAAAGCCAAGGTTAGAAAACGACTTTCGAGAACTTTAACTCTGTGCAATGTTTTGAGTTCCCATTAATATCAGCAGTCCTTGAAAGACACTAATTCATAAGAGGGTTGTGTGTACTTCACACTGGGCAGAGTCACCTGGGCGAAAGGCTTGCCAACCACAAGATTTCGCACATGTCTGCCTATGCAACACAATTAACTACATCACTTCTACATGTATGGTGCCTTAAAGACAGTCCCATCCCTGCTGCTGGTTTGGAATAACAGTTAGGTGCCTTGGATCCCTCCCTTCAGAAATGACTGTTAGTGCTTAAATTCTTCAGGGCTCTTTAAGGGCACAACACGGATTAAGGAAAACTTTGTTTTCTCTGGCATTTCTCTGGTCTTTCCCTTTTACTTAAGTAATGGTGTCTCTCATACATTGTGTCTAGTTTGGCAGCCATGAACAGAAGCTGGCTTTAGCGGAACGGATTCGAGGCCACGTCCTATCATTGGCGCTGCAGATGTATGGCTGCCGAGTCATCCAGAAAGCATTGGAATTTATTCCCTCAGACCAGCAGGTAATTGTAAGTTTCCTTTTCACTTTTCTCTTGGTGTTTCTCTGTGGTTCGTGCAGTGAACTGTGAAGACTGTCAGTATGGAGGTTCTTTGCTGGATTATGGTTGTGCTCATGGCTTCCCATCAGCAGAGCAAGTAGGAATTGCCTGGTTAGTTTACAAGATTCTACTGGATCAGATTCTCCATAAGTGGCACCAAGCATTCAGTAAACAAACCTGAACTGTGATTCAGCCTACTTGCCATCTTCCTT